CCTATAATCCAGCTACTCAAAGGGTTGAGTTCTGAGGGTCATGGTTCAAAGCCAGCCCAGGCAGGAGAGTCCATGAGACTCTTCTCTTCAATGAACCACTAAAAAGCTAGAAGTTGAACTGTGGGTCAAAGTGGTAGAATGTTAGCCTTGAGCAAAAATGCTCAGGGAGGGCTGGGAAGGTGGCTCAGTGGTAGAGCGCTTGCCTTGCATGCTTGAGGCCCTGGGTTTGATTCCTCAGCCCCACATAAGCAAAAAAGAAAAAAGCCGGAAGTGGCCCTGTGGCTCAAGTGGTAGAGCGCTAGCCTGGAGCTGAAGAGCTGAGGGACAGCGCCCAGGCCCAGAGTTCAGGCCCCACGACTGGACCCCCCCCAAAAAATGCTCAGGGACAGTGCCCGGGCTCTGAGTTCAAACCCCGTGACCGACAGAAAAGAAAAAAAGAAAAAGAAAAGAAAAGAAAGATCATTGCTTCCATTGTTCTTGGGTACAGAGGTGCTAGACCACCATCTTTCCTTCCATTCCTGAGTGGGCTGGTTTTGCCACATCAACCTGTGGCAGCGGGAGGAGGTTGCCCCCCCTCCCTCAAGAGGAGAGACAAGGAGAGCATTGTGGGTGGAATGAAGGAATGGAATGAGGCTCCCTTTACCCCCCCACCAGGGGCTTTTTTCCTGGCACCAATCCTTCACGAAGAGATTGTGAAAGAGAAGTTTTGTCTTAGTGTTTTACACTCCTGACAACAGCTTGGCAATAATCAGGCAGAACTCCCCTCCTTCCAGCCCCCTGGCACCGTCTCGAGCCGCCCACTCTGACACCCACCCTGCCCCTGGCCCTGGATGGTTATAAATAGAACCATTGACGAATCAAGAGAAAAAAGAATGTCCCAATTGCCTAAGCCTTGTGTGTCTCCCCACTTTCCACCCCCACAGCAGATCCTTAGACAGGGCCTCTGGTGGCTTGGTACAGCTCTGAATGGTGAGGGCAAAGGTCTTGGTTTCCAAGAACAGAGTCGCATGCCGTGAGTAAAAATGTATGGAGCAGGCCTGACTCAGTTTCTCCTCTGTGAGCAGGAGAGGAGGAAAATGTGACTCTGGGACTATGCTTGGCTCCCACCAGCCTCTTTCACTCACTGCCTCACTTTGTAGGGGAATTTTTTCCTCTTTGTCTTTTACTTTCCTTCCTTCCTTCCTTCCTTCCTTCCTTCCTTCCTTCCTTCCTTCCTTCCTCTCTTTCCTTCCTCTCTCTTTCTCTTCCTTCCTTCCTTCCTTTCTTTCTTCCTTCCTTCCTTCCTTCCTTCCTTCCTTCCTTTCTTTCTTTCTTTCTTTCTTTCTTTCTTTCTTTCTTTCTTTCTTTCTTTCCTTCTTTCTTTCTGACTCATGCTTTTTGGCTGAGTTGGATTTAGATGAAGATCCTCTTACCTCCACCTCCTGAGCGGCTGGCATTACAGGTGTGTGCTACCACGTGCAGTGTCCTTACTGTTGTGTAACAGGAAGATGCCATCAATATCTACTTCCTACAGCTGTAATGATGGTCAAACAAATTAGTGTTTGACATGGTGGTTAGCAAGGCACCTGGGATAGCTTCACTGTCTTTTAGTACTCTTTCCTGGAGGAAGGGGTTTGTTCTGGAAGACAGGAGACCACCCTGGGATCAAGGGGCCTGTGCTTGGATTTAGGCCTCTGGCAGCCCAGGGGGAGGGATGTTGGGCGGGGAATTGCAGGGTTTTCGGCTGCAGGGTTTGCACCATGAGTGACTCTCGCAGTGCGCCAGGCTTGCTTTGGATCAGAGAGGAAGATTTAGATGCTCTGCCCTTGCCCATGCCTGGACCCCCTCTCCACTGTCTAAGGTAATGACAGGCATTCTGGCTATGCCATGCTCACTCCAGCTGCCTAGAAGATGGTAGCATGTCCAATCCTGAGTTATCTTAGGAGAGGAGAAAACACCCCAGAGGTAAGGTAGGAGTTGCTGTGCAACTCTGGGAAGGAGTCACTACTCCTCTGGGTTTTATTTTTCTCTTTCATTCCCTCTTACTCCCCCCCCCCCCCCCCCCCCCCCCCCCCCCCCCCCCCCCCCAACCCAAAGCCAGTACTGGGGTTTAAACCCGGGCCCTGGGGCTTGCCCCTTGTTTTTTTTTTTTTTTTTGGTGCCAGTCTTGGGGCCTGAACTTGGCCTGGGTGCTGCCCCTGAGGTTCTTTTTTTTTTTTTTTTTTGTTGGTCGTGGGGCTTGAACTCTGGGCCTGGGCGCTGTCCCTCAGCTCTTCAGCTCAAGGCGAGCGCTCTACCACTTGAGCTACAGCGCCACTTCCGGTTTTCTGGAGATAGGAGTCTCACGGTCTCTCCTGCCCGGGCTGGCTTTGAACCGAGATCCTCAGATCTCAGTCTCCTAAGTAGCTAGGATTACAGGCGTGAGCCACCAGCGCTCAGCCTGAGGTTCTTTTTCTTAAGACAAACGCTTTACCACTTGAGCCACAACACCACTTCCAGCTTTTTTTCTGAGTACTTCAGTGAAGATAAGAGTCTCACGGATTTTTCTGCCTAGGCTGACTTTGAACCGCAATTCTCAGATCTCAGTCTCCTGAGTAGCTAGGATTACAGGTATGCATTGCCAGTGCCTGGCTCTCTTTTCACTGAAGGCTGGTGCTCTACCACTGGAGCCACAGCTCTAGTTTGGCTATTTTTTTTTTTTTTTGCTAGTTAATTGAAGGTAAGAATCTCACCATCTTTTCTGCCTGGGTTAGCTTTGAACCTTGATTTCCAGATCTCAACTTCCTGAGTAGCTAGGATTACAGATGTGAGCTACCAGCTTTGTGTAAAAAAAAAAATACAGCCCACCCCCAACTGCTGTAGAAATAATGTAACTGACAAAAGCTGTTGATGGAGGAACTGAAGTTTAGTCTCTAAAGAGAAGCTAGCTGTTCTCTAGAGCTCCTCCGGCCCCCCTCTCCACAGCCCCCCCCTGCAGCCTTGAGGCTGTCAGGAATGAACAGGGCTGGGGGTGGAGTGGGTGGCAGCAGGAGGCAGGGCCAGGGCCATTGCTGCGACCCTGCCTGACTCCTGCCCCTGGACTCCCCTATGCTTCTTTCCCCATGGTGGGTGCTTCTGTGCAGAGCTGGAGGTGAGGTGCAGGGCTGGGGCTGCAGGTGGGGCTGGGGCTGCCGCTGGCTTTGGGCCGCCGCTGCTGGCCCAGGTGGGTGGCCCTGTGCTCTTGGGGAAAGTCAGCTTCTCCAAGGAAGGATGAGAATCATCTGGGGATGTTATTAAATACCAGATAGGATCTAGGAACTTGTGGCCTGCCATTCTACCTTCCTGCTGAGGTTAGTGTTGTGTTGCTGCTTCATGGTTCCCCTGGGGATTGAAGCATCCAGAATGTTTTCTAGGCCAGGTGGGCTGAGATGGGATTGGGTCCGCATTTCTTGGAACTTCTTTTCTTTTTCACCATTTAGTTCTTTTTCCTCCCTCTCCCTCTCCCTCTCCCCCTCCTTCTCCTCCTCCTCCTCCTCCTCTCCTTCCTTTTGTGCTGGTACGAGGGCTTGAACTCTGGGTGTTGCACTTTCATTTGTTTTTTTTTTGTTGTTGTTGTTCAAGGCTGGCGCTCTACCACTTGAGCCACAAATCCATTTCTGTTTTTTTTTTTGCTGCTTAATCAGACACAAGGAGTGAGCCACCAGCACCTGGAAGGAAGCCCTTAATTTTCTAGAATGGATTCTGTCACTAGTAAAATCTTGTTGTTGTTGTTTTCTCCTTCAAAAGAATATGAAATTCTTTGAAAATTTCTTACCAAATTCATAATGGAATTAAAAAAAATCAGATTAGATATTTGAAAACTGTTCAACCTCTAGGATTTCCTTCCTCTCCCAACTCTTCAAGTTTCTTGGTGTTGCTTCACTAAGAGCTCAGATGCTAAGTCAGAAGCCAACTTATGTTGTTATGTTATGTTGTTAATGTTTCATTAGTTAGTGTCAGCAATTAGAAGCCAGAAGCTCTGGCAAGAGTTTCCCTCCCTCCCTCCCTCCCTCCCTCCCTTCCTTCCTTCCTTCCTTCCTTCCTTCTTTTTGATGCTTTTCTCTGGGCTTGAACTCAGGAACTCAGGGCCTCCTCCTCTTACTAGGCTTTTTTGCCCAAGGCTGGAGGTCTACCACTTGAGCCTACAACTCCTCTTCTCGCTTTTTGGTGATTAATTGGAGATAAGAATCTCATGGACTTTTCTGCTTGGGCTGGCTTTAAACTGTAATCCTCAGATCTTAGCTGCCTGAGTAGCTATAGGTACAAGTGTGAGCCACTGGTGCCCGTTTACCTGTTTTTTGTTTTTTTTTCTTTCTGTCAGTTGTAGGGCTTGAACTCAGGGCTTTCGCTCTGTCCCTGAGCTTTGCCACTCAAGGTTAGCACTCTACCATTTTGAGCCACAACTCTACTTCTAGTTTTTGGTGGTTACTTGGAGATAAGAGTCTCATGGACTTTCCTACCTGGTCTGGCTTCAAATCATGATCCTCCAATCTCAGCCTCCTGGATAGCGAGGACTATAGGCATAAGCCACTGTGACCTGGCTCTCACGCTTGTGAGCCAGGGAAAGGGAGAGAGGAAGGGAGGGAAAGAAAGACAAAGGGTTCCTACCGGAAGAATTCTCCATTCCATCTGCACTGAAGTGTGAGACAGAATAAAGGAAGGAGTTGAGCACTGGTGGCTCACACTTAATAATCATTTTGGGTATTTATCAAAGTCCATATGTAAAGGTTTGGGCCACAAGGTGGCAGTATAGCAGGGTCCTGGAGACCTTTAAAAGGTGGGGCCTCATGAGAGGATTTTAAGTCATTGTAAGCAGGCTCTTGAAAGGGATTGTGGGATCCTGGTCATCCCAGCATCCTTGGGTGAAGTGATGAATTTCAGTGACTGACCTGCACAGAGCTTGGGTTATGCTGTGGGTACTCAGACAATGGAACCTGGAGCTCCTTCTCAAGCCAGTGAGCAACACACCTGTACTGACCCTGGTCATCTTGCCCCACAACAGGATGTGTGGAAGGCTCCTATGGCAGCTGTTGGCTGAGGATGGCAGGCACGCTACCCCAGTGGGGCGCCTCCTGCTTCCAGTACTGCTGGGATTCCGCCTGGTGCTGCTGGCAGTCAATGGGCCTGGAGTCTATGGTGATGATCAGCGTGAATTCGTGTGCCACACCCAGGAGCCAGGCTGCACAGAGGCCTGTTACGATGCCTTCCAGCCCCTCTCTCCACTGCGCTTTGGGGCCTTCCAGGTCATCCTGGTGGCTGTCCCCAGTGCCCTCTATGTGGCCTTCACCCTGTATCATGTGCTTGGGCACTGGGAAGAATCAGGGAAGGTGAAGAAGGAGGAAGTAAGCTGTGAAGGAGAAGGGAGTGTAGATGTTTCCAAGGCTGGGAGACGCAGGCTGCTCTGGGCCTACGTGGCCCAGCTGGGGGCTCGCTTGGTCCTCGAGGGGGCAGCGCTGGGTGGGCAGTACCATCTGTATGGGTTCAAGATGCCCAACTCCTTTTCATGTCGCCGAGAGCCTTGCCTGGGCATCATCACCTGTCATTTGTCCCGCCCCTCAGAGAAGTCCATCTTCCTCAAGACCATGTTCGGGGTCAGTGGGCTGTGTCTCTTGTTCACTCTTTTGGAGCTTGTACTTGTGGGTTTGGGGAAATGGTGGAGGATCTGGAAGCACAGATCGGCCTCCGCTAGCTGCTTTTCCTCTCCGGAGAACACCACCAGACCCAAGGAACCGGCCGATCGTCTCCAGGTGGTGGAAATGAAAGAGTAGCTTCAAGAAGCAGGTGGGAAGGACTTCCGATTCTGTCTCTCTCTGCCCCTACAATCTCTGTTTTTTGGGACAGAATCATCCATACTGATGGTGTTTCTCCACCGAGGACAGGTCTCACAGCCTTCTGGGAATAAGAAGTCCATAACAAATTTCCAGGCAGATGTGTTCTGATTCCTGCCCACAATTCATCTCTCAATCAATAGTCAATCAATCAATCAATCAGTCAATACCCATCCATCTTCGTCAATGGATTATTCCTTGTAGTGAACCAGAATGACAATGTCAGTCTATAGTACCGCTTACCTTTCCACTTAGGGGCTTTCCTCCTACATAAAAGTCTCAGCTCCTGCTTGATCTCTTATTTTGTAGGGTTGTTGTAAAGATGCTCAGCTTGCCTGAAGGAAAGCCTATGATTGGATCTTCTTCAAAACATCCAGGGAATGGAGGCTGACATCCATGCTGGGGAAAGCATTTCCTTGAAGAATTCCTGAGTGGTTCTTCTCACCAGAATTGTCTCCCATCAATATCGTGGTTGTCCTGGGCTTGATTTAGGAGGCAGCTATCAGAAGTCTCTGTAAACCCTGCTTCTCTCTTGGCAGGCTCAATAAATATTGATGGCGGCTGTATGTATTTTATTATTTATTTATTTTCCCAATATTGAGGCTTGAACTCAGAGCTTTGCCCTCTTGCTTGGCTTTTTCACTCAAGGCTGGGCTCTACCACTTGAGCCACAGCTCCACTTCTAGCTTTTTTTTTTTCTGGTTAGTTGGTGATAAGAGTCTTACAGACTTTTCTGCCTAGACTGACTTCAAACTGTGATTCTCAGATCTTAGACTCTGAGTGGCATGAGCCACTGGGTCTGGCTTGGCTTCTTTTCCTTCCTTCCTTCCTTCCTTCCTTCCTTCCTTCCTTCCTTCCTTCCTTCCTTCCTTTCTTTCTTTCCTTCCTTTCTTCCTCTCCCTTTCTCCCTCCCTCCTTTCCTCCTTCCCTCCCTCCCCTTCCTTCCTTCCTTTCTTTCTTTCCTTCCTTTCTTCCTCTCCCTTTCTCCCTTTCTCCCTCCTTTCCTCCTTCCCTCCCTCCCCTTCCTTCCCTCCCTCCCCTTCCTTCCCTCCCTCCCCTTCCTTCCTTCCTTCCTTCCTTTCTTCTTTCTTCCTTTCTCTCCTTCTTTCCTTCTTCTGGTCCTGGGGCTTGAATTCAGGGCCTGGGCACTGTCCCTGAGCTTCTTTGTGTCGTAGACTAGTGCTCCACCACGTGAGCCATAGTACTACTTGCAGCCTTTTATGAGAAGTGTATTGGACATAACAGTCTCATGGACTTTTCTGCCTGGGCTGGCTTTGAACTGCAATCCTCAGATCTCAGTCTCCTGAGTAGCTAGGATGACAGGTGCGAGCCACTGATACCTTGCTTCCTGTATGGTTTTCTAAGGGAGGGAGAGAGATAAGAGTCAGATGATAAAAGCTTCTGCTTTGGAGATTTACAGAGAAAGTTGGATATTCACAAGGAGAGCAATGGAAGTGGTGTGTGTGTGTGTGTGTGTGTGTGTGTGTGTGTAATTAAGTGTATGTGATGTGTAATTATGCATCGTGTATAGGTCCCTCAATAGAGTTAGAATAATCAGGAGGGGGGAGGTCACTTTCTTAGTTTACAGAAAATGACTATGAAAATGTCATTGTAAGATTGCAGATGTAAAGATGAAATCCTAGACTGCATTACTACTCAGAGAGATAAAAAATGTGATTTCTAATCTTAGCTACTCAGGAGGCTGAGATTTGAGGATTGCAATTCAAAGCCCACAGGGGCAGAAAAATTCGTGAGATTCGTATCTCCAGTTAATCATCAGGAAATTGGAAGTGATGCTGTGGGTCAAAGTGGTAGAGCACTAGCCTTGAGCAGAAAAAAAACAGAACAGCTCCCAAGCCCTGAGCTCAAGCCCCACAATGACCAAAAACAAGAAGTGATTTCTTTTTGATCAAATTATGCCTTGAAGTATGCACCCAGGTCTGTGTTCTTTGATTTAAAATGCAATAAAATAATCTGGAATATGTGGCGATCTAAGGGAAATGTTTAGGAAGAAAAACCCAAGGAAAGATAGGGTGGGCATTTAGAGCATGAATTTAAATGATTGAGTTTTCTTTGAGTCACGCTTCACAATAAAACTCAAATCACCTTCTGATTAGTATTCATTAATCAGAAGATTGGGAAGTTTGGCCAATTAAATGGAAAAATCCTAGTTTTGACCCCAGGTAATCTGAAAGCCACAAATTAGCCACAAATTAGGTACACAATTACAATTACTTGGTTCAGTATCAACTTGGCACCCAAACACATTTCTTTCTTTTTTTTTTGTCAGTCATGGGGCCTGAACTCTGGGCCTGGGCGCTGTCCCTCAGCTCTTCAGCTCAAGGCTAGCGCGCTCTACCACTTGAGCCACAGCGCCACTTCCAGCTTTTTCTGCTTATGTGGTGCTGAGGAATCAAACCCAGGGCCTTATGCATGCAAGGCAAGCACTCTACCACTGAGCCACCTTCCCAGTACCCACATTTCTTTTTTTTTTTTTTCCTTTCCTTTCCTTTCTTTTCTTTGTCAATTGTGGGGCTTGAAGCCTGGGCACTGTCCCTGAGCTCTTTTTTTTTTTTTTTTTTCGGTTGGTCGTGGGGCTTGAATTCTGGGCCTAGGTGCTGTCCCTCAGCTCTTCAGCTCAAAGTGAGCGCTCTACCACTTGAGCTACAGTTTTCTGGT